CCTTTGTTTATGTAAACAAATATTTTTTTATTCAAAACAAAAATAAATGACATATTTTTCAAAACCAAGGAGTTTGGTCGTAAGTCACTCGAATTCGTTCGTTTAGAATTTTACAAAAACAGGCTGTAAGTCATTTCAAATATATAAAATGAGACCTACTCATTATGCTGACACGTAAGGAACCTCCGCATTCTCCATTTTAATTTTTTGAAGATTTTCAAAGGGCTGGTAAATGAATACCCATATTTATTAAAAGTACGTTTACATTGTACCGGATTTGGTTAACCCAGTGGGTTTATATTGTCAATTCCATTGAATATATGCCAAGGAGAAGAAAAATAATTTCCATTTTATTGGTAGTGTTTTTTTGTTTTCTGTGATTAAAGAAACGTCCTTGTTTTTCATGGCGGGCATGAAAACTCCTCACTGAAACATCGGAATCCGAAAATTCCAACTTCGCTCCAAAAATTAACAAAATGTCGGACCCTCGAAAAAAGTTCAAGGGGACCCCCCATTCCCGGTGTCAAATTTTTTTTGATATAATTCAAATCTACTCTAATTAATGAATGTCCCTACAAAATTTCAAGTGAAAATCTCAAGAACTCTTGAAGAAGATATTGTGTCTGCATCAAGTGACGACTGAAGGGCTTCTCAAACTTTAAACGCGTTTTTCTCTAAACATTTTTTTGCGAATGGCGGGCACGATAACTGAAGAACTAATAACCCAATCAATTTTTACACGTTTCTCTGTGAGTGTATAGCTATCGTATGAACCAGGATAAAGCCAATCGGTGAAGATCTTCCTTATTTTTTAAATTGGTTTATGTTAAAAAATCGGCGATTTTCCAAAAATATTTTTTAAAGGTCCACAATTTTGTTAATTTTAGAGCGAAGTCAATAATCCTAGTTCATACGAGAGCCAGACATGTACTCTTTCTAACACCGTTGGAATTTTCGGATTCCGATGTTCTTGAAAAATTAAAATCGAGAATGGTGGTGTTCCCTTAATGGAAAATAGATATATATTTACAAAGAAGCGTGTCAAAAATTCGAACCGATTGGATTATTAGTTTTTGAGTTATCGAGCCCGCTATTTATAAGAACACAGTTTCGAGAAACTCGCATTTAAAGTTTGAGAAGCACTTCAGCCGACTATATCAAATATCACAAGGGTTCGTTGAGATTTTTCACTTGAAATTTTAAAGGGGCATGCCTCAATTATTATAGGTTCGAAAAACACCTTCACCATACTAACAAATCGGGCGAGTGTTGTGTCCAAGCACTGACCTTGGAAGAGTACTTAATTTGGTATAATTTGGACTTTGTTGAACGGGTAGAACTAGAATCCTGAAAGTTGCAACTAAGATAAATGTCGGAGCGTAGGAGTACAGAATGGTGCCAAATTTGGTACAATTTAAATTTTTGTGAACTGATAGAGCTGAAAATTTTATACCCTACACAACTATGTTATCAGGATATTATAGCTTTGTGTAGCCACAAGAGTTTGTATCGCCGCGAAATTTGGTCCTAGACCCATCTTTAAGTATACCGATCATCATATCTCGACTAGCTGAGTCGATCTAGACATGTGTGTCCGTCCGTCCATTATAATTTGTAAACACGATACAGGCCACAGTTATGGACCAATCTTCACGAAATTTTGCATGTAAGAAGGGTTCGGCCCAATGAAGACCCCGATTGTTTTTAGAAAAGATCGGTTAATATTTAGGAGATGAAATGGACAAAATACTTAATTTTTGTCGGTTTTTCTGGTCGCTCCAGAAGCCGCAATTATGGCCCAAACATCTCGAATTTTTACATGGAGAAGGGGATTGGGCCAAGGAATAAGCATGCCTGTATTGATAAGGATCGGTCAATATTTAGCGGGTCAAATGGACCCTGACTTTTGTGTGAAAAATGACAAAAATTGTATTCTATAGCGTATATATGGTCCTGATGGACATATACCCTAGAAGTTGACAGTATATCCAAGAGGAGTGGCTGGCCTTTAAATTATACCAATTAATATTTAGGAAATGGACCAAATACTTAATATTTGTCGGTTTTTCTGGTCGCACCAGAGGCCGCAATTATGGACCAATCATCTCGAATTTTTACATGGAGAAGGGGATTGGGCCAAGGAATAAGCATGCCTGTTTTGATAAAGATCGGTCGATATTTATCGGGTCAAATCGACCCTGATTTTTGTGAAAAATGGCAAATATTGTATTCTATAGCGTATATATTTACTCCTGATGGACATATACCCTAGAAGTTGGCAATATGTCCAAGAGGAGTGGCTGGCCTTTAAATTAATACCAATTATATTGTTGTCTGTACTCGGATGTGGGAGTTACACGTAAATATGTACGGGTGCTACGTACTGAGATATTATTTAGTAACCCATTACCACACTATAGGACGGAAATATAGCGCTAATCGCTTTTAAATTTTGCATGAAGTTCAAGTTATGGTCAAGGACAACGCCTATAATTTTCGGATAATGATCAGATAATAATTTTGGGATGAATTGGACCGAAAACTTATTTTGTTTGTGTTTTTTCGAGTCGATCTATAGGCCACAATTGAAAGCCGAACACCACAACACAACCCGCGGTGAAGGATATTTGTACTGTACAAATATCGCAAAATATTGCCCAAGCTCAGAATATAGAACCACAGAGAGTTAGATTTTCGTGGAAGTTGTGTAGGGTATCATATGGTCGGCCCCGTCCGACTATACTGCTCCGCTCACTGGTTAAATTTGAATTTACGATTACTATTTGAAAGCAGTTTTAGAAATTCGTATTTATAATTATGAAAGGTACTAAATTCGGTACAAATTGGACTTTGGTGGATTTATCGTTACTGTTAGAGGTGGAATTAGGTATTATAGTACGACTTCGGAATTATAGTACAATTGTACAGCATTCACGATTTCCATAAAAACTATTTTTTTATTTGTTCTGTATTCCCTTCCGCATACGAAGTAGCGGTCACTTCGCTAGTAATCTTATAAAACTGTTAATTTCATGAAACAAATTATATTATACATTTGATTGTGACATAGATTTTCAAAAAGTCACATCCAATTGTATTACTTTATTACAGATTTTGAAATAAAATAATGTAAACCTTGTCTTAAATACAACTACGAATTACGAATTGTTAAACATTAACATTTTTCATCAGCTATTTCGCAGGGAATAAGCACCTAATAAGTACTCGATAAAACCATCACCACCTTGAATTATTTTTAGGACGATGTCAATTCCGTGTCAATAAAAAAAGAAAAAAAACTACTGTATAGAAACCAAACTCAAACACACAGCCATTCCAATTGGTAATTGGAACCGAAATACGCTAAAACCATTACAAAAGTCAATGACAGTTAAACACTTGTCCCCGACTAAGGGAAACGTTTTCGTGTTTTAATCGACCGCTGGAGAAAGTAATTTCACAGCCCTGGGTACCGGGTCGTGAAGAGAAAGGCTATCAAAATTATATTGATTTATTTCTTGTTTGCTTGTTTTTTTCTGTCGTTCGTTCGTTCATTGCTTACTATGGCGGAATTTGAACTCAGAACATGGAAGTGGCAATGAAAATCATGGCATAGGCAATCGAATAAAGGAATTCAATAACGGCCTACAGGGTTTTCTATACTTTTGCTTTTTGAGCTGATGCGCGCGCATCCCTTCCAAAACGCTTTTTAATGATGTTTTGGCCCAAAATAGCAGAAAGAGTGGCAATATGGAATAATAATAACAAGAGGACGCCGTGGTGTGGGGAAAATCAAAACTAACTCTCATACACTTCGATATAAACATGAGATTTGTGTCAAACAATACACTCTCTTCGTCTCTCGCTTGCTTCGGCTCTCAACAATCTGTCATGTGTTCGAATCCTGTGAATACACACACAACCAGCCAAAAATACGAATCGGATACATTCCGACGAAGCAGCAAGAACAACAACGGGCATACGGCCGAACATATCTCGAAGGCAGGAACGCAAAACGGAAAAAATGAAATAAAACGGTTTTTATTGTCGGTGGTCGGGATAAAAAGTAGTGACAAACACACACGCACACAGTTCCACAAACGAACGAAGAGAGCGACTGTTCCGTGACAACTTTGAAGTTGCTAAAGTGAAGTTATTCGTGGCAGGCAGATAAAGAGTTTTCGTTGAATAGAAAAGACCGAAAGGCCGATTGTGAACCAGAAAAAAAAACACCAGAAAATCTACTTCAAAATTAGAGTATCCAGTTGTGAATCACCAACAGCAGTATCAGCAGCAGCAGTAGCCGTAGTCGACCGTGTAGCATATTGCAGTTGCAGTGAACATTCATTAGTTTGTAGTGGTGGGCTGGAATTTGGAGTAATGAAAGTGTGTGTGTGTGCGCAAAAAAGTGTTAAAAATCAATAAAAGAAACAAAACATCGTCAACGAAGAGTTATTTTCTACTTTTAAATACGCATCAATTTTTAAAATAATAATTGGAAAATAATTTCGAACTGCCTATACTCGAACGTACAGACACACACACGCACGCAAAAACGTGGTGGAACGTGGCCTGGTTATATAACAAACAATATAGACATTTTGCCCCCCTCACATCACTATCTGGCCTAACTGCCGAACTGCTGCCTTGGGCTGTATGCAAAACATCAGACAAACGTCACCAGTGAAAAAATAAAATCTCAACCGTCCACAACACATCACGACACTAAAACTTCGAGAAGCGACCAGATTGTACAGACGTCAGCAGTAATTATCCAACGGCCCACATCTAAGCCTAATTATGGAGTTTTCATAAAATCCCAGCCCTGAAAAATAGCAGCTGCCACAACAGGAAAAACAAAACGCTAACGCAAGGAAACCCCATCACCAGCAGCAGCACCAACAGCATCAGCACCCTCCCTCTACCACCAGCACCACAACCACCAAACAGGGAGTAACAGACCTTTTTCCAATCTTCCAAGAACATAGCTACACTTGCCGTTGGCCATGGGCAAGAAAAAAGTACCCAGTGAAGATTTAATTGTCCCACCACAGGACCAGCGTATCTGCGGCACCATATGTGTCTGTCAAATGACTTTGGTCTTGAGTTCGGTCGCCCTAGTCTATCTAACTGTCGCCATATATATGCCATCGACGCGAGCCTTCAAAAGCGGCATCGATGAGACGCCTGTCATGTGCACCACCACCCGAGCCGTCAACAAGGAAAACTGCGATTGGGGTTCTTGCGGTGAATGGTGTTTGAGCAAAACGTCCGGAGCCTGCATCCAAATCTATGTCAATCTGCGCAACAATGGCACCAACCTCACGTTCCAGAACTGCACGAATTCGGCCAACAAAACGTGCTATGGCATCGATCAGGATCGGGCCGATAAGGCTCGCTGCATCAATGACGAGTGTAAAAATCTCACCGGCACCTTCAACTGCACTGCCGGCCAGTGTCTCAATATAACCGACGCCTTCGAGTGTGTCTTCAAGAACACAGATTCGCCGGTGAAATGTTCCGGGCGTCGTGGGAAAATCAATTGCATGGACATCACTGGCCTCTATTCGTGTACACGGGGAACGTGTCGCAAAATCCGCACCCCCTACAACTGTGATCGCCGCTGCCTGGACATTCCAACACGCAACAAGAACGTTGTCATACTCAGCGGTGACAAAGTCTATATGTCCCGCTGCCAGAATGCCATTAATCTTGACACTGGCGAAGAGGTGTGGAACGAGACGGAGGACAATGTCGTCATGGCTTCCTGCTACTACATTAACAATGCTGCCGACCGTATCGATGCCATTGACAAAATGGATGCCGTGGACTGTATCAATGGCTCGACGCTGGACAAAAGTATGCTCACAGATCTGACGAACTTCACGTACCTGAGTCATTTGCATGTATCGGTGGCCACTCTGATACCGGAAATTGCTCCGCCCGACATTGATTTGACCATATCGAATGAGTCGAAGCTTATGATCAATCTCGAGGGCTGTGTCAATACGCTGATGGATGAATGCAAGGAATTCCTTAAGGATTTTGGCCGAGATGGCAGTGATCATAATGCCCGGGCACGTTTTCCATGTTTTTACGCGCCGCAGAAGAAGGAAATTGTGGTGGCACGTTTCGATTTGGAGGTTACCTATCGTCAATTTTTAATCGCCTCCGTGATACCGTCAGTGTTGTTTGTGGTCTCGTGTCTGGTGCTGTTGCTATGTCAGAAGACCGTCTATGTGGGTGATGATGCCAAGATGCGTTTCAAGGGTTGCGTCGATACGGATACGATTTTGTCGAAAAATGCCTTGGATCAGAATCAGGATGATAATGGTGCCGGTGGAGGTGGCGATGAGGTTATGGCTCTATGAGATCCGTCACGTAAGAATAATACCTATTTTTATGGATTAATTTTTTTAGAATGTTTTGGGATTTTTTTTTTTTTTGAAATATTGGGAAGGTGTTTGTGCGCTAACCCAGTAAGTGTCATATTAGTTTTTATGAGTTCCAAATTATGGATCGTTATGTGATCTTTGAATTATGTTAAGGACAATAATACTGAAAATAAAGTTCAAAATATGAGGGGTAGGAAATTACTGTTAGAACTAATATCCTCATTTTCGAAGAACAAATTAAAAAAAGTCGATTTTCTGTTATTGAAGATCCTGAAATATACTATCTCATATATCCTCGCGAAACGATATACAACCTACAGTATATATGTCCAAACGTCCTCCTTGTAAGTCTCCAGGACTTATTTCAAGTATTTAAGTGATGATATGACCACATTTTTCAAGTGATATGGTTATGATTATGCACATCGGGGTTCATATTCACAAAAAAGGATCAAAACAGATTTATGTTTTGACATAGGTATAATATAAGGATCTCGGTGGTTAAACAATGACTTCGTACAATATATTTTTAATATAGTTCCATATTTTGACATATCCTCCTAATAGAGATCCCCATCAAGTTTCCAATAGATATGACTATAAGTAGGTATTCAGTGACTTTGGCGGATAAAAAACTTCATGGCAGAATATTTTCAATGTAGATCCCCTTTTCGATCCAGTTTAGGAATTTTCCAACCGAAGGGTCCCAGATCCAGTTTAGGAATGTTGATGGACCCAGGCGGATTTTCCAAACGATGTTACATTAATGAACGGATTAAAAGACATTTTTAAAAATTGGTACATGTTTCGACATAGGCCCCATACAAAGGATCCCTTTGTGGTATTTATATGACCACAGGGGTTTTTCCATGCGTATTATTTGACAATACGGATTATTGGGGGTTTGAAAAAAATATTCACTGAAAACCACCATATTTCGACATATCCTTCATACAATATACCTGTCCATTTTTGATATTTGGATGGTTTTGGAGTGATGTGTATATATGTTGGTAATTCTACTTCACCAAATTTGTCATTCCGTTTGCAAACACATCGAAATATTCACTGAAGACCCCATAAAGTATATATATTCTATACACATGTACATGTACATCTGTCTGTCTGTCCGACTGTCTGTTGAAATCACGATAGAGATCGCAAAATTTAAGATAGAGCTCTGAAATTTTGCACGCACATTGCTAGTATTCCTAGAATGTATGGTATTGCCAATGGGATATATCGGTCCACGTATTGGTGTAGCATATAACGGTACCTCCCAAAATTCGGTATTTTGAGGATTTTGGACATGTTTTTCAGCCGAATTGGTATTTTGTAATTTGGTATTTTGGGTTCTCATTGAATAACACACATCCGTATCAAAAAATCTTAATATTTACCCTAGATTCAGGGTAGCCCCCATATAACGATAACCGGGGATTTTTGACACGTTTTCCAACCGAATGGACTGTAATTTGGTATTTTGGGTTCTCATTGAATAACACATCTCCGTACCAAAAACTATTAATATTTACCCAAGTTTCAGGGTACCCCTGGAATGGTAACCCCTCAACATTCTGTATTTAGGGGATTTTTGATACGTTTTCCAACCGAATTGGCTGTAATTTTGTATATTGAGTTCTCATTCTGATGGTGGGTTAAAAAACTTATGTTTATACCCTGCACAACTATATTGTCAGGGTATTGTATCGCCGCGAAATATTGGTCCTAGACCCACCTTTAAGTATGCCGACTAGCTGAGTCGATCTAGACACGTGTGTCTGTCAGTCCATTATAATTTGTATAGACGATACAAGCCACAGTTATGGACCAATCTTCACGAAATTTTGCATGTAGGATGTGTTCTGGCCCATGAAGACCCCTATTGAGGCCGCAATTATAACCCAAACATCGCGAAATTTTACATGGATAACGGGATCGGTCTAAAGAATAAGCATGCCTGTTTTTATAAAGATTGGTCAATATTGGACCTCAGGGTCTAATTTGTGTGAAAAATTAAAAAAATTTTATTCTATGGCGTATATGTTTGCCCCTAAAAGACATAGGCCCGAGATAGTATACCCAAGAGGATATACTATACCAATTATATGGTCGTATATACTCAAATGTGGAAGTTACATTTAAATATTCGCAGGTGCTTACATGCTGAGATCGCTTTGAAAATTTTCTATGTGATGATCAAATAATAATTTTGAAAGTCAATGAAATTAAAACAACACACATCTAAAAGTCACGACACATTTTCGAAACCGAATTGTTCAATTTTCGCTTCGCTTTCCTATATAGGGCCATGCCTAGACATGGGGTCCCGACAGCATTTATTAATTCCCCAAATATTGGGTATAAACTATTTTACTGCCGAACCACTTGATGTAGGCTCACATATTCTTCATATCAAAACCACTACTTATATGGAAAATGGGGTCTATGTTCATGTATAGCTCCAATATAACCGTACCTACCTATTAAGGGTATTTCTCTAATCGTTTATTGACATTTTGTGTGTAGTGTCCACACACTCTTGCGTATGAGTTATGAACTCCTTTACAAATTTTATTACTAATACGACCCCTGTAACTGGTTTCAGCACGATTCAATATACTGCCAATATGATTTTTTTTTTTTTTTTTTGAAATTCTGAGGACAATTTTTAATGCCTGTTTTTTTTAATTTCTATATCAAAAATATAAATTTCAATTCTCTTTTGAAACTCAAAATGTGGATAAGGCAAATATTTACCTCTGTGTGTACATATGTGCGTAGGACTAACAACATTAACTGCACATGGCACAAAATACAAAAAAAAACACTAAAACCTGAAAATACAATTCCAAGAAAACGGGGAGTAGGCGAAGAATTTTATTTTTAAATATAGGTAGCAATGTCACGTTTTTTCTACATATAAACACAAATACACACACATACGAGCAGAGCAGAGCAAATAATTGCTGTTACAGTAAAAGGTAAATGTTGCGTGCTACTCGTTTCGAAACTATGTCGCAATAGTAAATGTTGGCACATATGAATATAAGTATGTCAATATATAGAAAAGAACTCCAGTTGCAAAAAGGAAAAAATGAACAAAATAGCAATATAAGTAAAAAGAAACTTCACACGCCATCGAAATACCAACCACTACAATCAAATGTTAGCCTTGCACAAAAAAAAAAAACAGGGGACATTGAAATCGAGTTTGTGGCTCTCGCTGTCACAAGAGTTATTTCATGTTAATTGTTTTTGTTTTTTTCTCAGTCTATATTTACTTTGTTGTTGTTAATGGTTTGATGTGTGCGTGTAATCATTAATGATTTAAAATATTTTTCCATATTTATTGTAGTTATGCATAAGTGGATATGAAGATTTTTTGTGAAAAAGAACAAATACAAGTACTCATTTACTTTATATGGGGTTCTGTCCATTGAGATATTATGTTGTCAAATTACAAAGAATACAATTGGGAAATGTGGATAACATTACTTCACCACTTTGGCTATATACATGAGGTGTTCCTAGGATTTTCACTGCCAAATCTTAGGCACAAATTTTTTGAAGGACCACTTTTGGTGAATTCGTATGATATTAAATATATTATCTGTATCTATATGCGAACCGACTTCAATCCATACCAATTTCACTCGGCTGTAATTTGGCATTACAGATTCTTGAAGGTTAAATTTATATTTATGTAGAAAATTGTCGAAAAAATAGGAGGCAATTTACAATGTCGTAGTCATCATATGAAGTTCGCGATCCTTTTAAGAAATTTTGAATAGTGTTCTTGTCTTTGTAGAATATTTGTAGGTAAAAAATATCGTTTTTCTGTATACAGTTTACGGTTCAAGAAAATAAGGACGAACATGATGCTCAAGAAATCGGAATAGAAGGAGTTTTACAAAAAAAAAACAGGTAAAAAAGCGTTAAGTTGGGCCGTGCCGAACTTTGGATACCCTCCACCATAGAAATACTGACAAATTTTTGAAATCACGATAGAGAAATAAAAACATAGGGAAAATACATATAACGACAATTCTTCCAATCGATTGTTGTAAACCAAATAGAAAATTCAGCAATTTCAATGGGGGTTTTCCTAAAATCTCAAAACCCTAAAATGTTGACATATATTATTAACGCATGGTACTCCAATTTAGAGGGCAATATTATATATGAGGCATACTAAAGCGGGACCAATATTGACAACATTGTGTAGGAATTAGTAACTACTTGGTGTTTTCATTATATAAGGGGTTAGGCCTAATTAAGGGCCGATGTAGCTCAAGTTCCAAGCTAATATTTTAGTTTTGAATCCCAATACCGTCCATCACGCTAAATATTAAATAGGAGAGATGTTTTATATAGGACCAAGTCTTAAATGCGTTTTAGTTTTTATGTCGATATCCTCCGAGAGAAAAATTATTACAACATATGGCTAAATCGACTAAATCGTTTTAGAATTCCATACTATGTGGGCTATGCACTGAAAAATTCGTCTACCGAATATCCCCCCTACTATGGTGGAATACAGCTATATGTGATAACCCCAATACAAGGAAAAAATCCGGGGGTTATAAGGGGAAAAGGGGGCGAATATTAAAAAATTTTGGTAGGGAGATTTGTTACCATATACGACTACAAAATACCAAATTGCAGCAAATTCAATTGAAAAACGCGCTCAAGAACCCCAAAATACCGAAAATTGGGGGTACCCTTATATGGGGGCTATCCGAAAAAATGGACCTATACTCATAATTTTTTGTGGAGAGATGTGCTACGCAATAAGAACTCAAAGTACCAAATTTCAGCGAATTCGGTTGAAAAACGCGCTCAAGAACCCCGAAATACCGAAAATTGGGGGTACCCTTATATGAGGGCTACCCGAAAAAATGGACCTATATTTATAATTTTTTGTGGAGAGATTTGATACCCAATAAGAACTCAAAGTACTAAATTACAGCCAATTTGGTGAAA